TTTCACTTGATTTGGCGTTCGTTCGATATCAAATCGCAATTTGGAATATTCTTTATAATATACCCATTTTGGTGAGTGTCACTGAGTGATCGTAAGTAATATTAGCAGGATTTTCCATAACTTTCATTTTTTCTGTATGGTATTTTCGTAGTGTGACTTTATAACTGACATCTAACCTACTGGAGTGTATTCTTTTAAGTTGGGCGTGGGGTCTACCGTATGTAGGGTTGACAACGCCGTATCTAGTATAAAGTTGTAAAGTTAATAAAAACAATAAAAACAAATACAATATCCAGTACAACTATAGAAAATACGTTATAAACGTATGAATTTAACATAGTATACACAGTCTTTATAGAATAATACATTATATACGTATGGATTAAATATACCGTATCCTTCATTTATAATATTTTTTGCGAACAGTATACAAAATACTGATATACAGTAGAAATAGTATACGTTTCAAACGTATGAATTTAGATACCGTATTACACATTATTTTTACTGTATACTTTATTGTATTTTTTGCTAAACACATTTTGCGAACAGTATACATTATACTGTTATACAGTATATAAAAATACGAACCGTATCAAAGATACATGTATACAGTGTAAAAACCGTATGCATATTTTTTATAGGGTATGCTGAAAAACCTGTTGTAAGTACTGAAATTCCTTATTCATTCACAATTACTATTTTTCTTTGGAATCCATCCAACTCGCACCAAATTGTTATCCTGTCAACGATTAAAGCCAACTGAAAAACTTTAATGCTCTAACAGGTTAACTGGAGTTTAACTTAATAGGAGAGTCTTAAGTTGATCACAAATAATCACGTGAAATAACGTTGGATGTTCAGTTAAAGAAAATAGGTTTTTATTAAAATAATGTAAGATTTTAGATACGATGAAAAATATAGATAATCTCTTGGTTGCGAAATTAACTATCTTGAATTATACTACTGGGAATAATACTCTTTTCGTATAACTCGAAAACTACAATACAATTCTTAACTATCTGACTCACTGACCTCCCCTTTCTTGGTAAAATCCTATCACTATTTATAATAAAATAAAAATCAAGAATATTTGATAAAATAAATAAATTAAATATAATAAATAAATAAAATAAATAAAATAAAATAAATAAATAAGATAAAATAAATATATCAAATAAATAAAATATAACAAATAAAATAAATAAAATTATATTGTGCTTTATAATTAACATTGTTAGAAAAAAAAAAGAACAACAAATGCGGCCAATTACCTAATACAAAACAAAAATAAGTACATTTGCTGATATCCTGAAAAGGATCTAGTTCAAATTTTAAAAGATTCAGGCTACCATTCCGAAGAATGGGAGGAAACCGATGAAGATGATGAAGATGATGAAAATAATGAAGAAGAAGTAGTTACAAAAAAAAATTTGATATATATTTATGAAAGATGGTGGAGATCTCCTGCTGTATGTATATTTTATTATTTTTTATCAAAGTATAAACACTAATTTATAGTTTAATTTCTTTATTTAAGCTTCAACGTTTATTACATTATCTTATTGATCCAACGGTAGAGTTATTAAGGAAAAAACCACCAAACTTAAAATGTAAAAGAGTTCTAGACAAAACAGAAACAGCTAGTGTGCCACCTGCCAGCGCACTAAGCTGGTGTTTGAATAGAAAAGCACTTGAAAAATTCAACCGTTTAACCAAAAATATCCTGGTTTATGATTATGATACTGATGAAAGCATTATTCAAGACAACAATGGTGCCGATGATGATGTTGATAATAATGTCGTAAATAACAAAAATAACAACAAAAGGAAAAAAAAGAAAAATAAATCTAAATCAAAAAATAAAAAATCAAAAAAATAAATTTTACAATTTTTACACTTTTGCCTAAATAGGTTTATCGTAAAAAATACTAATCAGACTTTAATAAAAATCAGAATTCAAACATTTTCATTTAATTTTTTTAAAAATTTATTGATTAAATTAAAAATATCATGGTTTGATAAAGCTATAGATTACAGTTTATTTTTTATTAATAAACAAGTTACGGTATTGATTACTTTATTACAGTAACAATTTAATTATGTATAAGGTATTTAATAAGATATCAAAAACTGATTAATAAAATTTTCTATATTAACATACGATAAATTAGATTAATTAGCTAAATACGATAATATTATTTTTTCAAAAAAATTAAAATGAAAATATACACAAATTTTTGTTTTTGGTATTTAAGTCAAATTAAATTACTATATGCTTAAATCATAACTCATAACCCAAAGTTGAGGATTAACCGGGTACCTTGCTTTAGATTCAGCAACACTTCCCAAGTCAGATGAGGTACCACAGGTATGCTTTAAGAAACTCGCTATGATAATAAAGATAAGTATATTCGAAAATACCATTTGTGAATGAATATAGGATACGATGAATAATCTCAAATAGAAAAATAAAAAATAAAAAAATAAAATAAAATAAAAATAAAAATATAAAAAATAAAATAAAATAAAAAAATATTTTCAATTAGACAAAGCATCCTCGTTCCTTCCTGAAATTCTCATTTGACTAAATTATTATTGTTTGTAATTTGATCCATTTGAATCCACCATAAATTACCAGACAGAGCGAACCTTTATTAGACAATTATAGCTTCATTACCAAATGGCTGCGATGTGTTTAATGATATGGCAACCTGTTTAATTCATTTTTAAATGAGCAAACGTGGCCATAAAACTCATTAAAAAGGTAGGCTACAGAGTGCAATGCAACTTACCTAACCTAACAAGTAGGTCTAAAGGTTAGGGAATAAAATATACCCTAAACCCACGCAGTTGGTATGGAAATAAAAGTTTACAAACGGAAGTTTCAGACTGTGCCTGACGACAAAATGGGTGAGGTGCAATCAGGACTTTTTCCTCTAATCCAGCCCGGAATTATAGAGGCAACATTGTTATCGTACAAAGCATATTGACGAAAACGTCTTTCAAAGAAATTAATCAATAAAAAGTATACTTGGGCAATAGCCGATCTTTATCGTTACCTTATAAACTCCAAAAGGACAGGGATCAGCGCAGGCATTTTGGCTTACGTATTTCTTTAAAGATTAATTAAATTGAAAGATAGGATCCAAATTCAATATGACTGAATCGATTGCCTCCGGTTATTAAACTTCTATCAGAAGTGATCGCTAGAATCAAAGATACCAATAATCACCCTTATCAGTAACGATCTAACTAAAGATTTTTGAGAAATAAAATCCGTCATTTATATGGAATTAGTTTGTATTACAATTTTATTACGATTTGGGTAAAAAAAATATCTCCTTAAAATTTATTTTTTTTCAGGTATCCTGGCTATATGGAAAGATTCCTAATATGGTAATAGTACAATACACCTTATACGCTATTTTGCAAATTCAGTGTAATAGTTTACAAAGAAAAAAAGGGGAACGTATTTATTTTTTTGCCATGAGAAATTTAATTACAATAAGTGGATTTCAGAAAATCGCGGTAATTTGAATAATTTGTATATGCTTTTGATAACGGGTTTGAAGTTTAGGTATTCTCTAGCCGCACTCTTGTATTACTATAATCACTGAGAGTTGGCTTACTTATATAATAATCTTATCATTCAATATTTCCTAAAAAAGTAAATAAACATCATCTATTTATAAGTATTCATGATTTGGAAAAACTCCGTATGAAGTTGAATCAAGCACTCTATAGTAATTATCTTTTTTCGTACACTGTATTACATTTTTACAAAGTACAAAGCGTACAAAGCCAATACCAAATAGGCAGAAATCAGTAGCTGTTTTCTATACTACGATAATATTAAATAAACACACAAATTTTTTTAAAGATCGTACAAATATCGGTGACTGATATATATTAGATAACGGATCGGTGACTAATAGTTTGGATATCGGACACTTGGTAATTTACATTTTTTTAACCATATTTGAAATTTGCGCATTATGTGACAAATCGGGTACCCGATATGTTGTTAATATGTAAAAATACCCGATATGTACCTAATTAATCACCAATATATAGGTACCCGATATGTGTGAGATAGATCGTTTTTTGACCTGTGAGAGACATTTGAGTCAAATATGTCAGCTTGTTATGTAAAGAACTCATATGTTTTAGTCAAATTTATAACACAAGATGGTAACATCAATTGTTATCCTGGACAAATTCAATTCTTTTTTTTCCACAAGGTTGACTTACCGGAGTGAGAATTGGATTATAATTTGGCATTCATTTGATGGTATCAACTAGTGAATTTTTATTATTATTTCAGTATTAAAGACGATAAAATTTGCAATGTCAAACTTTGAGGTACTGAATTTTATCCTGAAGGTCGAGATTTCATAATTCCAGTGCATAATATTCTCAGTAGATTTGTGCCAATAAAATATAAAATTTCAGATAGGAAAAATGCAAGAAAATATTTGGCCATAAATTCTGTTAATAGAAAATTTAATATTTGTTAAAAATAATAATAATAAATTTTCATTTTTATTAGTCAAAATTTAACGAATTGTTGCTTTTTATTGGATTTTACATAAATTCTTTTTTTGAGTTATATATAAGTACCACTTGTTCATAATAAATTTCAGAAACTGAGTTTTATATAATGATTAGAACTTCAGAAAATTAAAACTTCAGAAGAACTTCAGAAAAACTTTGAAAAAGAACTTCAGAAATCATATGAGTCAAAATTAAGCTGAAATTGAATTCAGATGAATTTTGGCTGAAATTTATTCTGAAATCTAGCCAAAAGTCACATGTCTGAAATTTCTTATTTTGACTAGTGGGATCAAATTAAATAACTGGTTTGGTCTAGTCTAGTCCTGAATTATTTTTTTAATATAATCCGAATCAGACTGAAATGAAGCAATTTTTGGTCCAGTCCTGGGTTACTCCTCAACTTGGACCAATTTAGACCATTTAGAGCTTTACAGTTAGCGTTAAGATTGCCTTAAATTATAATTATTTATTTTAGGGCAAAGTTGTACAGATTTTAAAAGATCTGAATAATTCTTTATTCATCGACTTATTTGATTATAAGAAAAAATGGACTGAAATCAAAGAGGATGTACTTTGAGAAATCATTTCAGTTATAAAGAAGAAGATGGATAACAGATTCCAATATACTAATACAGAATTAAAAAAATCCTACAAATTTTCCATTAACATCAAAAAGATGTGTATACTATTTTAACAAAACCTCTAAAATTGAAAACTAATAAATAAAGAGTTAGTACGAATAGTAAGAGAAAAGATGTAATGATTATTTATTTTAAATTATTTATCATTCTATTAATATACTAACTGCACAAATTCAAATAATATTATCATTATTCTTATTTATTATATAGAAGAAAGAAAGATACTGAAAAGGATTCCATTATATATTATTTATGAAAGACTCAATGCTTATGAATTTGCAATCTTCAATGGAGTGGGATGATTAGATCAAAGACATAAAAAAAGCTATTGAAGATTTAAATTACTATTCAGATAAAGTTTCTGAATCAGACATAAAAAAGGCATAAAATAAAAAAGATATAATAATTCATCCTTCCAAAAGGGAAGATTCAAATCATATATTATATAGTGCAACAAAAAAATTTTTAAGCGGCCAAATTTTTTATATTATGTAATACTTAATCCTGTAATTTTATTGGTCAGATTTATTTAATTTAAGTTATAATTCTTAATTTTAGCCAGAATTATACATAATTTTAACCAAATTTACATAGTTAATAATTAAACGAAAGTAACTTTGGCCAGAATTATATATAATTCTGGTCAGAATAAAATGGCCAAATATTTAATTTAATAGTAAAATATTTCAACTTTGAATTGCTACTACTTTATTAAAAAATACTTTATAGAAAATTTAAAAACATAGTTTAATTAAGCTTAATCTGATTTATTATTGTACATTTATACTTTATGTTTATCTTTTTTTTTGAATGAATAGTAATGATTTAAATTTTATCAAATTTAATTGCTGGGACTAAGTTGTATGCACTGTATGTATATGATAAGTTATAAAGATCAAGCGTGATTTAACATGTTTAATGTTATTAATATTTTTATTGATTATTTAAATTTTAAAATTTCTATTAGTATAGATTCAGAAACTATGATATGCTGATAAAATGGAAGAAAAAACTCAAAATGTAGAAACAGTAAGAAAAAGATAATATGATAAATTAATGATTAATTGTATATAGAAGAAAATTTGAATCCACCTTCAGGTATACCAAAATGGATTATTTCAACTATATATCAACTTGAATAAATATTATATTATGATGGTAATTTATTATAAGCAATTAATTAATATTAGATATTAGTGAAGATTTATTGCATTGTTAATATTCAAGTATTTATACAATATTATGTAAATTTGTTATTTTTATATTTACAATAAATAAATAAAATAAAAATTAAAATAAATAAAAGTGACAAATATCAGAACAATTATTGGAAATTTATTAAATATATTGGGAAATATACAGGTTGCCAATATTCACTGGATTTTTAAATTGAATTAGCCTGATATAGTTTAACCTAAATGTCTTATGATTTTTTCTGATTTGTACTATGCATCGGTTAAATTTTGTGTATACCTATTAGACTATTTAAAATGAAATTAAATGTAAATTAGTAATCTATTAAATACATGAAAATCAACTGGCATTTCTTTATAGGTAAATAGATAAACTGTACTGTACGGTCAGCTAAATTGTACTGTACGAAAATATTTTAGCCAATCATAACTCATTGTATACTTTTCAAATTTTTTTTATTTATCATACAATAAAATCTGATTGGTGAGTTATCACTTCGTACAGTACAGTTTAACTAACCGTACAGTACAGTTTATATGTATACTCTTTCTTTATTTAACTGGTATTAGTTTATTTGATTCATCCTAAATATAAAATATGTTAAATAAAATTAAATAAATAAATAAAAATAATAATAAATTATTAATTATATCTAACCTCATATAATCAATCCATCCAAAAGTTGCATAGTTAATTAAGATCTACATTTTCTTTAATATTGATGAACTAATAAAACTTTTCAT